GCACGTTCACGCGGGCTGGGGGAGGGTCTGCGTCAAGAATCACAAAGACTCCAGGTGCTAAACTGGGCCCCCCACGGCCGCTCCATCTCGCTGAACCGACAAGTAGCCAGGTCTGGCTTCTCCACCAGCCGGGCTTCTCAGGGCGCGGCCCCGGGTGGGAGTGGGTGTGCTTGACGCCGCCACTCGGTGTTTGTCCGAGTCATGAGTTAGTAGGCGTAACAACAGCGTTGCTGCCCACGACCCTGCAGCTCAGCACAGCGGTGGGACCTTCCGCATCTCCTGTCTCCTCTCGGCTTATCAGTAGCTTGTTTGCTGCGTCTGTTCTGCACCGAGCCACCCGCCCCTCAGGCAGCCCAGGGGCGGATGAGCAGTCCTGTCTCAGCCACCAGATTCACCCAGATTGCCAGGACACGGCGTGGGACAGCTGGCTTTGTGCTGGGAGCTCACTCAGCACAGCCCCTGCCCCGCTCGGCCCTGGGAACCGTCCGCGACGGTACAAGCGCAGCGCCAGGGTGGGCTCCGGCCCGGCCCCTTCTCCTCTCGCTCACCGCACTCAGCTGCCCAGAACCTCACGGCGGCTGAGGCGGTGCCCAGAGCTGCGAGCGGGAGCACGGAGGCCGTCCTTCTGTCCTAACTGGGGCTAGTTTTCCTTTCTTACACTACGCTGTGTAAACCACTCACACTCATTTTTTCCCCAACTTTTTGGGATTAGCTGGCCTCGGACTTTGGGCGTCTCTCGGGCCCGCTCACGCGGCTGACGCTCTCAGGCTGTCTCCGCAGCTTCCAACATGAACTGCAAATGAGACTGCACACCAGCCGCAGCCAAGTCCCGCCAGGCCCCTCCTCTGGGTGATCCGTTTCTACCGGCTGCAAGTGTCCGGCGCCCCCTTTAAACTCGACAACAAAATTCAAGCCCACTGGACAGAGGTCACTCTGCCTGTGTCAAACAGCTCGTGGGGCAAGACCCTGCTCAGATCCACAGACACCTCCTGATCTACAAGACCGAATGGTTTGGAATATTTCAGAGTGAAGCCCCAGGAGGCGATTCTGGGACGTGCACTTGGGGAGCGTGGCTCCTCCTAAGCCCACACGTGTGCAGATCGTGTCCGTTGGTGGGGTGGCCGGCGGGAGAGAATGTGCCCACCTGGGTGGGTAGCACCTCTGTTCCACCCCTAGCCCCTGGCAGGTGCTGGCGGTCCAGGGGCGGGAAAAGCCACTGCTTCACACCGGCTTCACGTCTATCAACACACACGCATCTTCCTTGACAACAACACAGCCCGCAGCCTGGGGCGTCCCTGGAGTGAGTCTTAGGAAAAGCAGAGATCCCGGTGCCGAGGGACACCCCAGCTGCAGAACTCGGCAGGTGCCGCGGTGGGCCCTTCATCTATGTCTCCCACTCGCGGGAGGGTCCAGGCCCCACTTGCGGTTTCGAAGTCATGTCCACGTCCCCTTCCTCAATTATGCTTCTCAAGACTGTCGCCAGGCCTCCGCCGGCTGCGCGTCTCCCAGGGCGGCTCTTGGAGCCTTGCGTCTGAGGCCCCTCCGTGATCTTTGTTGAAGGGCCAAACCACAGTTTTGCCTGTTTATCAGAATGAGAGCACTTGTCACGTCCTCGTGTGACTATGGCTGACAGTCTTTCTCCTTCCGAGATTAAGAAAATGCCCCGTGTTCAACCGATGGCTGTATTTTCGAGCTGCAGGACCCAACGGAGTAGCCACTGGTCATACGTAGTTATTTAACACAATTAAAGGAAAGTTGAAAATTAATTCCTCAGATGTCCCAGTTACATGTCAAGGGTACAACAGCACACGTGGCTAGTGGCCACCACACTGGACATGGCAGGAGCTGGATAAACACCTGTGCAATGAGGACACTGGATGCTGAGGGAGGAAGGTGAGGGGGCCGGGGGTGGGCTGAGCTCTGGGGGCAGCTCAAGATTCCAAAAATGTGACTTCACGAAAGCGCAGTCTTCCGGCCCAGCCACTCCAGGGCGTGCACCCTGCACAACCACAGCAGAATTAGTCTTCGCCGTCCCTGCAGGACCAGGGCAGCGCGGGGCAAACGAGACCCCTGCACACGAGACGCTTCCAGGGCGCTCAGGAGGTGTGGCCGCAGCCTCTGCCCACCTCCGGGCTGCGGTGGGCCCGGGTGCCGGGCCGGGGTCTGCGACGTGTTGACAGACTGTTTCAGGCCCCCTCTCCGACATTCTCACCATCTTATACAACACACACCATCCAAATGTGACAGTGAATGCATTTTGCATTTTTCTCACACAGTCAGAACTTCGAAGCCTCGGCAAGTATGCTGACTCCAAGGGTCTCGGTAGCTCGTCCCTCGAGCTTGAGTTACTCAAAGTGACAAGTGGCACCGCAGGCAAGCCCCAGGCTCCTCCGTGGCCGCTGGGAGCCCCAGCCCCACGCTGTTCGCGGACGCCACGGCGCGCCCCTTAGCTGCCGTGGCCTTCACAGGCCTTCTGGTGTTGACCTGACTTCAACCAGCTTCGGCCTTTCGTATCAGGTTGTTCTAGAAAAGTGGCTACTTGCCCCGGAGCTGGTGCAGCCAACACACATCTCAGTGTATTCCAAGCTCTCAAGGCCAGTTTCCATGCTATTTTAAATGCTTGACCTGTCCCTCATCCGATTTTAATCCAGGGGACAGGG